GGAGGATGCATGTAGCCTTATGATCTACTCCTAAATATCTTTCCACAGGGCAATTCTTATAAATTTTTTTTTTTAGGTGTATTTATAGCTTTTTGTAATAGGACCATTTTGTCATTAATTTCTATCCAATTTCTTTACAGATTTATTATTGGATTAAATTGACACAATGTGAAAAGAATAAATGAAAAAAATTGATACAATTGGAGCAATAAATATCCAATTAATATAAAAAAGTAAAAGGTTCAAGCTTGCCTCTAGTTTTACTTTGCAGACTAGATGAATACTATTGAGCCCGCAGGGCCCATCACGAGTCTTTTTTGATAATCGAACCGTTGAATGTGTAGGGTTCGTCGAGTATTTTTCTCCTATAAAAATCACTTAATCGGATATTAATACTATTTGATACAATCAGATTTTTGTGAAATATTTATTTTGAAAATTCATATTTACCGGTTGACAGAAATTTGATCAAATCAAATAGCTATAATATATTCGATCAACATAGTTTTTTACTGAGATAAGGTATTTGATGATTTTTTACACATTGAGCGGCTCAGATCATCGAAATAGGACCTGTGAACATACTTCACAGACCCAACAACACCCTTCATTAATCTCATACTAAGTCTAACTCAAAGTAAAATATAGGTGATATATTGGTATAGTGGGTGGCGGGGTATTTGTGTCAATTTAGTCATTTTATTACATTAATTTTGTCCTTTAATTTTCACACGTGTTAATTTAAGTTAATGGATAAATAATGCCTTCCAACAATGTGAAATATCTTTTGAATGTACATGTAGTACTTAATTTTTTTTCCTTAAAATGAAGGATTAATTACACTAGGACCTATCAACTACTACTGAAATTTCACTCTACTCCTAATTTATGATAGTACATATTAACCATTTTAACCATGAAAATCATATAAAAATTTTTCTTTTAGAGGTAGTTTGATTTGTAAGAGTTTTTAAAAAAATGAAAAATGATATATTTTTATAATTGATGTACGAGGACGAGTGAATAAAATGATTTTTTTAATAATTGAAGGATCTTGATATAATTAATCTAATATTTAATATATGTTAATTAATTTGATTAATTAACACAAGATAGGCAACCGTAAATATAATTTCCAAAAAAAAAAAATTAAAAATGGTTTGGAGAAATTGAATTATACATGCCTTGCGAAGATCGCCAGAGAGATAGGTGGACAAGTCTTCTTCAATGGAATGCTTGTAACGAGCATGGTAAACCACCCTTGGCAGCTAAAGTTCATGAGGAGAATAGATGCAAGTAAGTTCAACAACACGGCGTAATCTGGTGTTGATTGTTTCATCGCTACATTTGCTAACACTGGCATCTCGATCTTCTGGATCCGCCATCCATCTGAACACTGCTCTCTGTGTGTATATATATATATATCAGTGTGTTGAAGGATCAATCATTTTATGAAAAATCTACTGAATCGAAATCCAGATATATAAGCATTAAATTGGAAGCGGAAACAAATTGGGAAAAGATAGCGAGGAGACGCTAGGATTTTCATATTATTACGCTCAAAAATGTTAGAAATTTTAAAATTTTTTTATCAAATGTCTTATATTAGGTGTGAGATTCATATTGTGCGGGTCACACACCCATGAAACAAATTTGATAAAATTTTTAGAATCTTTATAATTACTCTATTACTCACCGTCTAAAAAATATTTGATTACTGATAGGAATACTAAATTTTTCTACCAGATGAATGACCAAATGTTTTACATCGTTATTGGGTCCACAAAACTCATGTGAGACATGTGATCATTTATTTGATAAAATTTTGAGATATGAATTTTTATTTTATCTTTCTTTTAATTCATTAATAGTACAAAAAATATAATTAAACAATTAATATTCTTAAATATATATTATTAAAAGATAATTTTAAAAAATTAATATTTTTAAAATGTAATAATTGTACTACTAAGAAAAATTGATTTTCCAAAAAAAAAAAAGAATAATTATCTTGAAACGGGAAAAGTATATTTATAGAGTTTATCATTGATTTGTAATAATTTTTTCTAATTTTTCATGTTGATTGATTTTTTTTCTTCTTCATATTATAACTTTTAACAATAGCGGTACTAGAAAAAATAAAAAATGATATCCCA